TGCTCTAAAGCATGCTTTCTTTTTACCTTACCTGAAAGAGCTTGGGTATGGGCTCCAGGGCCATTAAAGGAGTCTAACAAGAAGGCTAATTCACTGGAACTAAAGCACAGAGATCTGGGAAGCAAACAAAGGATTGAGGAAACATTTGGAAAAAGAACAGTTCTAAAGTCTGTGGGCAAGAGGGAGGCTCTCTAGACTCAAGAGAAAGTGGTTTGACTTGAAGGCTGGCCAGGTTGGTAAGGGAGATGACAATGGATACTCACTATACCAGGTAAGGCAACCAGGGCACACAACACAGAAGATGATACTGAAAAAGAGCAGAAGATTATACAAGAATGCCTAGTGGTGAGCAGGGCAAGGAAAGTGTCTATTGTATTTCTAGTCTTTGATAAGAATAAGAACAAAAATCCTATTCAGCTGGTTATTAAAATTAAAGGACGAAATAATTGTAATATCAACAGTTATTGATATCATATTGATTATTTTGTAATATCAACAGTTATTGATATTTCGAAAAAATCTTGGCCCTGGTTAACATTAGTTTTCTATAGTTCAGGAAAACCTGAACTGTAGAAAACTAATGTTAACCAGGGCCAAGATTTTTCAAAAACTAGTACTTAAAGTTTGGCTTCAAAAAGTCCATAATTTAGTTACCTAAAGACATATTCCAAATCTTCAAACAAGCTGAATACCAAGGAAATCAAACCAATTTCAGCAACAACAGTTACCATTAGGCACCTCAGGCGGGCATCCAACACTGCTCCACATACTGCTTTTAGAGAAGTCTAACCAAACAACAGGTTTGTTAAGTACCTTTTGTGATGGTACCTGACTGAGGCCAAGAGAGTAATGCTACTAGTTAAATGCCAGAACTTCCCATCTTCCACACGAGCCAGGTTTAGACTCAATGTTCAATATCTTTATAAGGGATGTAACAGGTAAAGGAAAGCACATTCATTCAATTTTCTGACATCACAGAATGGGAAGGGCTGCATTAATCAGGCTTAAATGGTAAGATCCATAAGAATCCAAGAAAAAGCCATAAACAGAATTAGCAGTTTGAGGAAAAAGAGAAACAGAGTAAAATCGGTAAATACTGGTCAAGAACTACATACTAAAAATATGTACTTGTTCCTGGCAAAAGGACTGGTTCTACTCTTCTGCTGGGCATGTTAGGATCCTTTTGCAGCTAAATGAAAAGGCAGTAGTACAGTTTGGAGATGTGACTAACAACAAAGGTTGAAATGCAAGGCTCCACAAATAAAGAATTGACACAGATTTGAATAAAAAGCCAGGCGGTTATTTTTGGCAGCACAGAAAAAGTACTACTTTCATCAAATCTTACTAGATTAAAATTAAGAAAGAACTTCCACTAAACTAGAAAATAATTTAAAAAGAAGTCGGGTAGATACATGTGCACATGGAACTTTCATCATTTGAAGTAGTTGAAAAGAAGTGATCAGCTAGAGATCTAGAGGCCATTTGGGAAAAAGCCAGAAGTATTCTGTATCCTCTAGGGATCCAGCCAAATGACTGGGGGAAAAAGGGGAACCCCACAGCTTCTTTATTCATGCTACCTAAAAGTCCTTTATTATAGAGAAAGCCCGAGTCAATCTTACCTGTGCCAGTCTTACTAGGGTACTTGCTACTTGGATCACTACCATATTGCTTTACAATTTCTCTGTGTTTAGCAACCACCCCTCTTCCCTCAATACTTCTGAGCTAAAATAGTAATGTATTGTTACAACAATTGATCTACCAGATGGAGAGACGTGTTAGTCTGAAGTCAGGCAGAAGGCAGGACAGGGTGATACTTTTCATTCAGACATTCATAAGTTTTCATAAGTAAGCAGAAGCCTACTTTGTCAGATGCCATGAACAGACAGTCAGAGGCAGAGGTGCTAAATGACTCGCCCAAAGTGCAAGAAAGATCAAATTAAAATGCTAGCCCAGAATATTGCCTCAAATGATATCCACAGCATAAATGAATGAATAAATAAATTTCTTCAAAGACTGAAATGGGTCACTAGTCAGAAAACTTAAGATACTTGGGTTGAATTTCTGACTCTAATACAGATTTAAGTCTTCTTGGAAATCTCTTAATCTGTCCTCTCTCTTGGCTAATTCAAGCAGAAGGTGGCAAAAACTATGTTCCTAACTCAGAACAGTGTTGCAAGGATAAGTCACAAATAAACCTGATGTTAATGGTGATAAGCGATAAAGGCAATATTGTTGATATCAACTTGCATTTTACTTGAAGTGGCACCACTTTCAATTAAGAAGCTAGAATACAAAATCTATATGGCACACATTAAGTGGATTAAATATGCCTAACTCACAGGTCTCAAAAAGTAAGCCTGAGTGGAGAGTCACTGTTGAGGAGGAGCGTCTCTGCTGGGATTTTATAAGGATTCCTTTTGGATCTACACTATTTAACATTTTTACAAAAAAGCCTCAAAGAAAAAGAATTACTGATCAAAGTTGCAGATGAAATGAAAACTAGAGAACTGGTAGAAGTGATGTAAGAGACAGGTCATTGACCTATGTGGAAGTTGATGTGCAAGCAAGGAGTATGTAAAGCTGTATGTCCATGTATAGAGTTGCACCTACAGGGGCAAATAATGCAGGGCTTAATGACAAGAGCACTGTGGAATGTTATCTGGAAAGCAGCAGCTCTGAAAGACTTGGGGGTTCTGATGGATTAAGAACTAAACATGAGATCCAGTGCATCCCAGCAGCCAAAGAGCTAATACCATCCTCAAATGTGTAACTAGGGAAACACTGAATTAGAAGCAAGGAGACTGTATTATTACCTCTGCATTTGGCAGTGGTGCAACCACAACTGGAATACTGGTGTCCAGTTCTGGTGTTTACAACTGAAGGAGGATGACGAATTGGAGGGGTTAGAGCTGAGTTATAACAAAGATTACATATTTTGAAAACATGCATAGTAGCAAAGATTCAAGCAGTGATGCTGGAGGGTTTTTAAATCGAGTAGAAAAAAAACATACTACAAGGTTCACTGCCTGGAAACTGAAGCCAGGCATGTTTAGATTAGAAATGTAGCAGGTTTTTTGTAAACTGTGGAGACAACTGGCTAGTGGAACAACTTACCAAAAAATTGTGGTGAATTCTCCACCAATAGCAATTAAAAGGTCAAGACTAGATTTTTTAAAATAGATGATCTATTTCAAACAGAACTTAATCCTTGAAAGTCCTATGACCTAGAAAGTCCTGTTATGCAGAAGCTTAAGAAAAACACCAAGATAATTTCTTCTGATCTCATAATCAATTAAAGAACCTGGACAATCAATCAGAGACTGAACTTGAGGTCTTAAGGCAGTTTTTCCCCTTATGTAACCATGCCCCTGCTTTACAATTTAGCCAATAAACTGGTACAGAACAAAGCCCATCCTCCCTCCTGCTTCCTTAAAGCGCCTCAGTACTTATTGTCTCTTTTGAATTCTTCAGTTCCCAGCAGACATCAGCTAAGCCACCCTCCCTTTATTGTCCAGATTTACCAAGAAGTCTTGCCTGCTGTCCAGAAGCATCCTCGATTCCCATTTCACCCACCTCTTTTCCTGTTGTGGCTAGCCTCTTATCCCCAAGTTCTCTCTTCCCTGTCCACATTCTATTCTCCTGCGCCTCCACAGCTCCCAAACGCAGTTCTTTCCTCTCCATTAAATCCTACTAGACTCTGCCCCCACTCATAAAATATCACCTCCACAAG